TATTACTTAATGCAAAAAATCTTGTGTAATATTTAGTAAAATTAAGTAAGAATACGTAGTTTTATAGCCCATCCCTATTTCGAAATAGGTGTCTGATTTTTAATTTTAAAACCCCTATTGTTTTTTCGTATTTCGTAATTTAAGAAATATACTTTATTCGGCTTTACAAGAATTTAATGAATTTTTAATTTACTTGACTCGAATAACTCTGATTTCGATTTAAAAAAAAATTACTTGTCATATGATTCGAGTTAATTCGAAACTCTTCAGATTTTAACTTGCGAGTCACGAGTCCAGTCTCTACCAAGGCCTACAGGTTTTACCTTATATTAATCACTTTACTGGGGTGTTGATTGATCAAGGGGTAATTTAATTACTTTTGGAGGAGGTAATTAATTTAAATGCAAGTTTAGGTTTAACTATTAGAGTGCAACTTTAAATAATTGTTTAAGATTTAATAAATTGTCAATAAGTCACGAGAGAATTATATTTAATATGATATTTATTTAATAAAGTTATTAATTTATAACCAAAGATCTGTTTTCTGTAAAGAAAATTTTCTCCTCTTTTATAATATTTAACCTTTCAACTACATGTTTATACTACATTAAATATTCATAAAAAACAAAATACATAAAATGAAAAGGCCTAATTCTAAGACTGATAATGATGCTACTACGCAAGATGTATGAACTGAACGATCTATATCTGACTTTTCAAAATATATGAGATGAAATGGTATAGTAATATAGTAATGATTTTAGTATACAATACTTCGCTATTCAGAACATCATTACGATTCTTCAGCCTAATATATATTCATTTACTATAGTAAATATATTTACTTCTAGTTAATGAATTATGTAACTATATTTCAGCCTCCACTAAGGCTAAAACACAATTATTTAAACAATATAACATAATGTAACATTTTATATTTTGAACATATTACAGTACTTATTTCTAAATACTTATCTCTGTCAATATCGATATCTAATACATATCTCTAAATCCTTATTTACCGATACTGCTCAATTACTTAATGTCTTTCAAATAATGCGTAGTATAAAGATGATTTATTAATGTTAATCAGTAGATAAACATAAATACTTATCTCTAAATGCTTATTTACCAGACAATTAATTCCCTAATAACTTTCAAATAAAGCGTGAGTAAAGATAATTTATTAAAGTTAATTAGTAGAATGAAAATTATGAACATAAATGCTTATTTTTAAAGGAAAATTTTAATTGCCGACCCCTATGAGATTGGCGATCATATAAGATCGTAGATTGGGTTTGTTTTTTTTTTTTTTTGTTTTATTTTTTTTGTACTAACCTTTTTTTTATTCTTTCTTTTGTGTAGAACCTTCGTCATGTTTCGGTTCTTATTTGTCATCGTTTTCTTGTCGAGTCTTTGGATTCTTTTGACGTCGTCTTCGGTGGTTTCTTTCAAGTTTCGTAGGTTCGTCGCATTTCGGTCTGCCCTCTTCGTTTTCGGTGATTTCTTCGTCGTTTTTGGTGTTTATTTCGGCGGGTTTCGTTAGGCTTCGGGAAGTTCTTTCGTGGGCTCTTCGGGAGTTCTTCGGGTGTTTTTTCTTGAGCTCTTCGGGTGTTCTTTCGCAAGGTCTTTAGGAGTTCTTTCGTGGTTCCTCGGAGTTCTTTCTTTGGCTCTTCTTTCTTAAGGCCTTTAGGAGTTCTTTCACGGGTTCTTCAGGAATCAGTTTGTAGAGTCTTCTGATGCTCTTTGTAGGGTCTTCGAGGTTCTTTCGTAGGGTCTTCGGGAGTGTCTTTTATAGGGTCTTCGGGTGTTCTTTCGTAGCTGTTATTTTTTTTTATTAATATAAAAAATAAAAATCTTAATAAATTTTTCTTACCTGCATGTGATTCGTTTTGATTGGTTAATTATGGTCGCTATGGTGATGGGTCACCATAAACTAACGCCCATTTTTAAATATATACTTATTTATTAGATAATTAATTAATTATCTAATAGCTTTTAAATAATGCGTGAGTATAAAGATAATTATATAGTATTAAATATAAATACTTATTTTTAAATATTTAACTAATTTAAGTTCAATATTCTGATACTAAATCTAAATTTAGTTTAATTGAACTAGAAGCTAGATAATAAGGTTTGCATTTCGCTCTATTTTTGCATTACTTGTATCAGCTAATTACGTATATATAATACTTTATTTAGTACTTTTGTATAACATTATAGATATAATATACAGTATAAGTTTAAAACTAAAAATTTGTTAAGTATAATCGGTTTATTTCTTTAGTTTTGTTTAAAAATTTTTACATTCTTTCTATATATAAGTATTTTATTTTATATTTTATGATATGTCTCAATTAAATAAGAGAAAAAAAAATGCTTTAACAAATAAACAAAAGCAAGAAATATGTTTAAAAAAACAAACAGTTTCGGCACCTACAAATAAATGCTTAGCTCTTGAATATTCTGTTGGTGAATCAACTATACATGATATTCTGAAAGAAAAAAGTAGATGGCTTGCATCTGAAACTATTAAATCTAGAAGAGGTCCTAAATGGCCATTATTAGAAAAAGCATTATGGCTTTGGGTTCAAGGAGCTCTTGGAGCTGAAATGGATCTTTCTGATAGAATATTACAGCGAAAAGCTATTCAATTTGCAAATACACTTGATATTGCTGAATTTAAAGGTTCTGCTGGTTGGGTAGCAAAATTTAAAAAGAGGAATAATATTTCAGAGTATGCAAAAACTGGAGAGAGTGCAAGTGCTCCATTAGCAATTCTTCCAGAAGAAAGAAAAAAAATACAAGATACTATTTTGAATGGACAATATAAATTAGAAGATATTTTTAATATAGATGAAACTGGATTGTTTTGGAAACTTGAACCTAGTAAAACATTAGCTACTCATTCAATTAAAGGTCATAAAAAAGCAAAAGATAGAGTAACAATTTTAGTTGGTGGAAATGCAGCAGGTACTGAAAAAATTATTCCTATTTTTATTGGTAAATCTAAAAATCCAAGAGCATTTAGAAAAGTTAGAAAACCTGATTTTGCAAAAATTAAAGTTCAGTATGAAAATAATAAAATAGCATGGATGCAGATACCAATTTGGAATAAATTTCTATTAGATTTAAATAATAAAATGATTACTCAAGGCCGTAATATTTTATTATTAATTGATAATTGTTCTGTTCATAAGCTTTTAGCAAGTACTATCCTTACAAATATTCAAATTTATAATTTACCGCCAAGAACTACATTACACCTTCAACCATGTGATGCTGGAATTATTCATAGTTTTAAAGCACATTATCGAAAACTTTTTGTTGATAATAGAATTAATGCCTATGATGCTATTGGTAATACAACAACTGAGTTAAAAGAATTTACTATTTTAGATGCTTTTAAACTTACTGAAAAATCATGGGAAAGTGTTACTGAGAAAACTATTAAAAACTGTTGGAAATCAACTGGAATTTTATCAAATTTTTTTTCAGATGGAACATCAACATTTTTATCTGCAGTACCTACTACTAATATTAGTACTAATTCTAGTACTATTAGTAATGTTAGTACTAATAGTACAAGAGAAAGTAGTCCTATTAATTATAAAAATACAACTACTACAGTTTTTCATAATAGCATTATTGCAACTAATAATGAAGGTATAACAACTCTTCACAAAAGCAGTACTACTAATATAGATAATATGACTACTATGATTCAAAATAATATTATTACTATTAATCAATATAGTATTATTACATCTGTTCAAGATAGTACTATAACAAAAAATTTTGTTGATTTAAATGAAAATGAAATTCAATTAGCTAAACAAGAGATTTTAATTGAACATACGGATGAGT